TGTAAGGTCCAGACAGCATAGTGCTGATATCCTAGCAATGGCCTTCTGGTACATCACAGTCCAGTGGAAAAGAGAGGGAGCTGGCTTCACGCAGAAGAGACCAAGGAGTTGGAGGGCCTCTCTTTGTAAGAACTCATTCTGGAAACACAGAGTTCATCTTTCACCAGGGTGGAGCTCTCCTGAACCACTTCTGGAAATACAGCATTTATCCTTCATCAGGGTGGAGCTCTCACGAGCCCACGTCTCTTTAAAAAAGATTTAATTTTTATTTATTTGTGTGTACGCATATGCGTGCATGTGTACATGAGTGCAGTACTTGTGGAAGCCAGAAGAGGGCTCCAGGTATTCTGGAGCTGGAGTTACAGGTTAGGAGATGCCCTGCATGAGTGCTGGGAACTGGACATCTATATTCTGAGAGAGTAGCAAGTACTCTTAACCACTGAACCAGCTCTCCAGTCCCAGACCCCACTTCTTAAAGGTCCCACCACCTCAGCAGTGCCACGCTGGACACCAAGCTTCTGATGCACGAACCTTTGGAGGATGAACCACATGCAAACCACAGCATGGCTTTCCTTCCATCTCCTGCCTCAGGGCTCAAGCCTCACATTCCTTCAGTTCCTCAAAGCCCAGGTGTGGTGCTGGAGACCCAATACCCTCTGCTCTGGACCACTTCTACCCATCCCTTTAAGCTTCAACTGAGAATCTTCTCCTCTGAGAAGTCATTTTGCATCTTTTGACAACTTCTCTTTCACCCTGCTACCTGCTACACACCTTCCTAACAGCATTTGTCATACAATATTGTCATCACTGCATCCTTGCTTATAATAAAACCTTTGGATTCAGGGCTCCCTGTAGGCAAGGGCCATGTCTCTGATTCTGCAGCTTGTCTGTTCTGTGTAGCAATCTCCTCTGAACCAAAACATTCCTTCCAAAAAGGAGGCTCATGAAACTCAGGAAGTGAACAACCTGTAAGTCTCAGGAAGTTCCTGAAGCTAATAAAAACCAGTTTATGGAAGCAGATGAAAGAGACTCTTTGGCCTGGTATGTGGCCTGCAAGTCATGCAGGGAGCTCTGGAGATGCAACTTTTCTGAACTGGGACATTCAGCCTGGGGTGGGTCTCAGTGATGCAGCTGCCTTTGAGTCATTCCTGCTTCTGTAAATAGCTCTTTATTCATACTCCTATAAGTCACCCCAATAAACTTGTTGGTTTACCAAGTTGGCCTTTGTGAAATCATTTATTATTGATTTTATGAGACAGTGTCTTCTCACTCTAGCTTAATCTAGCCCAATAGCACTCTGAAGCCCAGGTTGTCTTCAACTTCATGGCACTTTCCTGCCTTAGTCTCCCTACTGTTTGGGTTCTAAATGTGAGCTCCCATGCCTGCTTTGTGTTCCCAGGATAGGTAATGAAAGATCTCAATTGGATAGAAAATCCAAAAGAGAAGACAGTGACGTTATTCTGGAAAGCGAGAGGGTAAGATAAAGGAACCAAGATGAGAGAAACGTGATTACTGGTGGTGTTAGCTCCCAGAGCAAGTAGGCATGGCTTAGGGCAATCAACTATCCTGGTTTCTGCAGCACTATCAGTTTTGAAACAGAAAGTTCTGCATCCCAGGAACAGCTTCAGTCCAGGCAAACCTAGCTTAACCATCTCAGGATGGAATCCAGATTAATGGACAGAAGGGCTCTCTCCTTTGGGTTATTGGGAAAGGGCAGGAATAATGAAGCATGTGGGCTCCGGATCAGGGCAAAGCCTTGCTTCTCAACAACTGGCCCTTACAGTTACTTAACCTCTTGGGTCTACTTTCCTGTAATCTGGAAAGGAGGAGCAACATAGAATTGTCTCTCTCAATGAGGACTCGCATTTGTGTATATGTGTGTACCTGTGTGTACGTGTGTACGTGTGTGTGTGTGTGTGTGTGTGTGTGTGTGTATCATGTGGAAGCCAGAGGTTGGAGGTCAGAGGTCAGCATCCAGTGTCTTCCTCATTTGCCTTCCACCTTTGTTTTTGAGAATATTAACCTATTTTTATTTTATGTGTATGCGTGTTTTGCCTGTATGCGTGTGCTCGAGTGGTGTGTGTGCACACACCAGGTGCATGCAGTGCTGCAGAGGCCAAAAGAGAGCCCCAGATCCCCTGGGATTGGAGTTCCAGATGGCTGTGAGACATCCTGAACTGAACCCAGGTCCTCTGTAAGACTCACAGGTGCTCTTAATCATTGAGCCATCTCTCCTGCCCCCCCACTATTAAAATTGAATATCTGTTATTTATTCTTTGACAATTTTGTACATGTAAATAATGCATTTGATTTTATACACCCCAAACTTCTCCCCCACATTCTACTAGGAACCTCCATCACATGCCCCTTGAGGTAACTGATTAAATTAGTGCTTCCTTTTGGAATATTGACTGACCTTGTTGACTTGATCTTGTGCAGGTAATCATAGCCACAGTGAGCTCATGGTCCACCATTTTCTTGTGACAGGTTCTCTCATTGAACTTGGAGTTCACTGATTGGCTGAGCTGGCTGGCCGGTAAACTGTTGTGGATTATCTCTGCTTCCTCAGTGATGGGATCACAGGGCTCGATGACACGCCTACTCTTCTTTAAAGCAGGTGTCTTAATTAGGAGTTCTATTGCTATGATGAAACACCATGACCCAAAAGCAAGTTGGCGAGGGAAGGGTTTATTTGGCTTACACTTCAGCATTGCTGTTTGTCACTGAAGGAAGTCAGGACAGGAACTCAAACAGGGCAGGATCCTGGAGGCAGGAGCTGATGCAGGGGATGGAGGGGAGCTGCTTACTGGTTTGATTCCCATGCCTTACTCAGCCCACCTTCTTATAGAAGCCAGGACCAGCAGCCCAGGGATGGCACCACCCACCATGGGCTGGATCCTCCCCCCATTGATCACTAAATGAGAAAATACCTTACAGCTGGATCTCAAGGAGGCATTTCCTCAGCTGAGGCTTCTTCCACTGATGACTGTATAACTTGTGTCAAGCTGACACACAAAACCAGCCAGTACAACTGACTCCTTGTCAACTTGACACACAAACACATCACTATTAAGCCACAACCCTTCCTTTCTTATTCATCCCCAAAATCTTAAATAAGTTTATAAGTCCCACAGTCTTTTACAAATTCAAACACATTAACATTTCAGTTCCTTTAAAATAGTCAATCTCTTTAAAAATCTGAAGTCTTTTAAAATTCAAAGTCTCTCAACTGTGGGCCCCAGTAAAATACATTCTTACTTCAAGGGGGAAGAATCAGGGCACTGTCACAATCAATGCAAAGCAAAACAAAATTCCAACCGTCCAACGTCTGGGATCCACCCATGATCTTCTGGATTCCTCCCAAGGGCTTGAGTCACTTCCCCAGCTCCGCCCTCTGCACACACACAGCTTGTCCTCTAGGCTCCGGCTGGCTCCACTGCTGCTGCTGTTCTTGGTGGTCATCCCATGGGACAGACACCTCCAAAATGCTGGGGTCCCTTGCTGCAGCTGGGCTGCACTTTCACCAATAGCCTCTCATAGGCTCTCCTCATGGTGCCAAACCTCAGTTTCTCTGCATGACCCCTTCAGTCCTGGGCCTTCAATTGCCACCGAGGCTGCACCTTCACCAATGGCTTCTCCTGACCTCTCACAGTGCCAAGCCTCTGCTGCTCTTCATGACCCCTTCATGCCTTCAAAACCAGTACCACCTGGGTGACTCTTACACACTACCAAGTCCTGATGCCAACATGAGGTACAACCTTGGCCCCTCTAGAACACAGCTTCTCTGTGCTCTCAGGAAACATTTCCCAGAATGTTTATTTTACCTCAGTGATGCTGGTCTCTTCTTAATCACCGCTAATTTCTTAACTCCAGCTGACCAGCATCAAGTATCCCAGCAAAACAAAGTTTCACTTTAGTAGTTCTTGTTAATCACAGCTGATTCTTCAGCCCCAGCCAACCAGAACCACAGGATCTTAATTCAAAATAACAAATGGCCCTGGTGGAGTCTTTAAACTTCCCTCTGAAACGTCACAAGCCAGGCCTCCATTTTTTGCACTTCTCTCAACATTCTTATCTTCCAGGTTCCCACAGAACAGCCCACAGAGCTCTTAATATTCAATGGCTCTTCTAGCCCAAAGTTCCAAAGTCCTTCCACAATCCTCCCCAAACATGGATAGGTCTGTCCCCACAACACCCCACTCCTGGTACCACTTTGTCTTAGGGTTTCTATTGCTGCAACAAAACACCATAACCAAAAAGCAAGTTGGTGAGGAAAAAGGGTTTATTAGGCTTACACTTCAGCATTGCTGTTCATCACTGAAGGAAGTCAGGACAGGAACTTAAACAGGGTAGGGTCCTGGAGACAGGAGCTGATGCAATGCGCATGGAGGGGTGCTGCTTACTGGCTTGTTTCTCAAGGCTTACTCAGCCCACCTTCTTATAGAAGCGAGGACCAGCTGCCCAGGGATGGCACCACCCACCATGGGCTGGGCTCTCCCTCACTGATCACTAAATGGGAAAACGCCTTACAGCTGGTTTCAAGGAGGCATTTCCTTATCTGAGGCCCCTTCCTCTGATGACTTGTGTCAAGCTGACACACAAAACCAGCCAGTACAGTGGATGATGGTGATCCAAACTCAGGTTCTCAAGCTTGTGGCTGGCGCAAGCACTATACCAACCGAGCTATCTCCCCAGCCATGTAGGCTTAGTCTTTAAAAAGTCTGTGCATGCACGCGCGTGCGTGCTGTGAAACCGAACTTGGATTTGCCCATTGTAGACAAGCATCTTCCCATATCACCTGTCTTAATTTCCTTCTTTTTCGAATTTTTGCATCTGCTCTAAACTCTTCTGACATCCTCAGTCTGTATGTATGTCCTTGACCTTCACTGTCTGGTCCTACTTGCTCCTCACTGAGCACTGCCTACCACTAGAGGGCAGAAGAGACCCAACCGAGACAGGTGCTTCTCTAGCTCTCCTAGAGCTTTCTCTATGGTGCCTGCCGGCCCAGCCCTCCAGGGGGCGGGGCCACCACCACGTGACCCGGGTGCCAGGCGACCGCGCCGGCGCAGTGGCCGTGTCGCCGTCGCCGGGGCTCCGTCCCCGCTGCGCCGCTCCGCCGGGTAGCCGGCTGAGGCTGCGGCTCCCGCTCCGGCTCCTTCCGCGGCGGGCCGTGTGCCGCAGCCATGTCCCGGAAGCAGGCGGCGAGGAGCCGGCCGGGCAGCGGCGGCCGCAGAGCCGAGGCGGAGCGCAAACGGGACGAGCGAGCGGCGCGCCGGGCGCTGGCCAAGGAGCGGCGGAACCGGCCCGAGGCGGGCGGCAGCAGCTGCGAGGAAGAGTTTGTGAGCTTCGCCAACCAGCTGCAGGCCCTGGGGCTGAAACTGCGGGAGGTGCCGGGGGACGGGTGAGGCGGACCGGGAGTGCGGGAGGTGCCGCTGGGGATGCGCCGGCTCGGTCTCCGTGAGGGAAGCAGGGACCGGGCCTGGTGGAACGCTGCAGCAGGTGCCCCGAGAGCCCGGGGCCGGACTGAGAGGTGACCTCGAGGTGCACCTGTCATGAAGCCGGATGGGAAGGGACCTAGGTCCCGGTCGGTGTCATGCTGGGTCTCCTGGCGTCCTCGCTTCCTTCCGCACTGGGGTCATGAGGGCGGAGAGCTGAAGGCATCTTCCCACGGCTTGGGTTCCCTAAGCAAAAGGGCTTACCCACTGCATGAGAATCCCGAGCCAGCTCTTTCGGGTAACCCGATATAACACTAGTAGCAGATGGAAAGAGGGAACGGAGGAAGGTAAGGGGAAGGAACTTAATGGAAAGGGGACGTGGGTCCAGGAGCGTGGGGAGAGAGAAGGAAAAGGGTAAAGAGACGGGAGAAGAAGGTCCGAGATTGCCAGGTGTGTTGTTGCAAGAGGCAGGTTGAGCCGCGGGAAGAGTAGATAGAGCTAAGGAGCATACAAAGCCAGATGTGGTGGCTCCTGTTTGTAATGCTAGCACTGAGGGGTTGCTGTGAGGTTGAGACCAGCTTAGGCTGTAAGAGTGAGAGGGTTTCAAAAAAGAAAGAAAGAAAGAAAACCAAAGAAACTTCGATAGCCTTAGAAATTGTGGGAGAAAGAATTGCTTTCTTTCTCCCTTCCTTCTATTTTTTTTTTCCTTTTCTTTCTCACTATGTAGTCTCGGCCAGCCTGGAACCCCCTGTGTAGACTAGGTTGCCCTTAAAACTCACAGCCGCCTGCTGGAATTAAAAGGTGTGCACCTCCACCCACTGCACACAGAAGTATTTTTCTTCATTTCATACTGCGCTGAAGTGTATTGATCAAGAATTAATCAGTCAGCCCCATTTGTCTTTCCTGCCTTCAGAGCTTCAAGCAAATTGGATTTTGTTCTGTTCACAAAGAGTTGGGTACACCTTCCTGCCTAGGTATTTTTGCTTAAGTTGCAATTAGAATTTAATTGCATTCAGCCACCACTAGAACAGTTCCTGGGTCATAGAAGGCATCTACCACTGCTTCCCAGTGCTGGGATTAAAAGCATGGGCCATCACCACCCAGCACTTTTTTTTTTTTCATTTTTTCCTGAAGGAAGGGATAAAAAGTATCAAGGGAGGCCACCTATCTCCAGCAGAAGCCAGACACTGCTGTAGACATCGAAGAAGCAGCTGAAGCCTGGCCTGGTGGCGCACGCCTTTAATCCCAGCACTGGGGAGGCAGAGGCAAGCGGATCTCTGTGAGTTCGAGGCCAGCTTGGTCTACAAATCAAGCCAGGGTTGTTATGCAGAGAAACCCGGTCTCTGAAAAACAGAACAAGACAAATGAAAGGCATCAACTGAATGCAGGGGACCCAGGTGGGACTGGCCTGCACATGACTGGACTGTGTCAGACGGCATGTTTCTCCATGTCACAGAATTCTGCCGGGGAAACAGGTACTTCCCAGTTGCTCATGAACAGCAGCCAAGGGTCCAGAGTGAGAGTCCTGAGGACTTCCATGAGGTTCTGGGCAACTCTGGGAGTATTTACTCTCTCCTTCCCCCAGGAGAGCAGATTTCTTCAGTTACTCCTCACACATTGCTTGAATGGAGTGCTGGAAACAGGTAGATGGCTAAGGTCTAGAAGGGTTCACAGTTGAGAGACATAACAGTAGGTCACTTATATTCCCATCTATGACCCCTTTGTGTTCTTAAAGATTTCTGAGGAATAAACACATGCACAAGTGCTGTATGAGCCAAGCTCCGTATTTACAGGAGTGTTCAGGCGCACACCCATGCTTCCAGACAGTAGCCCCCCCCCCCAACTCAAACTTAGAGATTCACATTTCTATGCTTCCGAGTGCTGGGATTAAGGGATGCCCCACCATGCCCAGTGAGATGGTAGCCTCTTGGAAACTACTGTATACTTATGAGAGAATGAGAATGAAGAAGATAAAGATTTTTGTTTTGAACATATGGACACCCTGAAAGGGTCTCACGAATTTAATTAACTTGGGGAGCAGTTGCTATGGGGAGAGCAGTTTGACCTATTCTTAGTAACTGATGACAGTGGTGCTGTTGAAGGAAGTGGCTAACATGCCTTGAAATGTCCAGGAAGACCTCTTCTTACTCAGCCAGCAAAGAGTCAGTGACTTCCATGTGCAAGAGGCCTCTCAGAAGACATGCTTGAGCCCTTCAAGAAGGAGCAATACACTGGGCAGTGGCGGCACACGACTTTGATTCCAGCATGTGGGAGGCAGAGGCAGGTGGATCTCTGTGAGTTCGAGGCCAGCCTAGGCTACTGAGTGGGTTCTAGGACAGCCAGAGCAACACAGAGAAACCCTGTCTCGAAAAACCAAAATAAAAAGGAGCCATAGGAGTTTCCCAAGAGAACATTCCCGGATGAGTGCCACGCAGACGGCCTGGAGCGCACCTCACCGTATCTGCTAGCTCCTGTGTGGTGGAATGGGAGCCCAGTTTAATAGGAGTAGTAATGTTGGAAGTGAGAGGGCAGGGGCTAGCCTACTTCCCAGTCTGTTCTTTGGCAGTGTTAGGTGCTTCCTGAAGCTAGCCTGCTGTACAGAGAGCTGTGCTTGGGTGACATTCGACGGGCTGCTGCTGCTGTCGTCATCCGTCATTGCAGTGAACGGTGTTTCCATGGATGTGGTGGTTTGGGAAGTGGCAACTGAGTCTTTCTTTTTTTTGTTTTGCAAGATAGGGTTTCTCTGTGTATCCTTGGCTGTCTTGGAACTTTTGTGTAGACCAGGCTGGCCTCGAACGAAGAGATCTGACTGCCTCTGTCTCCTAGAATTAAAGGCATCTACTACCATTGTTGTGCCCAGGTCACAAGACCACCATAGAGCCGGTATCGGATGCAAGCACAAAGAGGTTTTTAATAACAAAACAAGCAAGCCCGGGGCTTGGTCCTTGAGTCCAACATCCGACACAGCGGGTGGAGGAGGATGGCCCGAGCACTCACCTTAAGGGGTTTATATAGGAAAGGTGCACATGCAGCTTGGGATTGGACGAGGGGGCTAGGGGTGAGGTAGTTCTTTGAAGTTACTGGCTGAACTATAAACGTGAGGTTACTGATGGCTAACAGGATTCAGGGTATCTATAGAGATGTAAATTTTTTACTCCCCATGTCCTGCTTTTGCTGAACCCAGGATATATACATTCAGAGTTATTGTTCCAGTCCTATTTTCCTATAAGTTCAGTTTCTGGCCAGTTGAGTCCATTACTCCCCATGTCCTGTTTTACCAAGTCCAGGATATACAGATTTATTGTTTCAGCCTTGTCTTCCCATGAGTTCAACTTCTGGTCGGTTCTAAAACTGCTGGTCAGCAAATACCTTTAGAGGGGGAGGGGGGAGGGGGGAGGGAGCATCTCTCAAGAGGGCTACTGATTTCTCCCTTTCACCACCACCTGACTAACAGACTTTTTTATGCATTAATATTTGTTGAGTAGTATTAGGTTAAAATATAGTGATGTTTTGCTAATATAAAAAATAGTTACAAGTTTCCACTGTTTCTCTTATGTCCTGATTATAGTTTGGATGGCCTAAGATGGTGACTTGCTGTAGGTGTGTTTCGTGTAGCATTCTGTAATCGGTTGTTTTTCTGAACTCAGATGCAGGGCCTTACATCTGTGTATCCCTAAAGCACAGTGGTTCTCCAGCAGAGATGGTTTTGTCTCCCGGGGGCAATTGGGACTGTCTGGAGACATTGTTGGTTGTCACAGCTGGTGAGGAGGGAGGTGGTGTGGGCCTGGCATCTGGCGGGCAGAGGCTAAGGATGTTCCCAAGGACTGGCAGTGAGCAGGACATTTCTAGCAGCACAGAGGGACCCCAGGTGTCGACAGTGTGGGCACTGAGAGGCCCGGCTGCCCTGCAGGGGTGCGGGTGGACACTCAGGAAACAGCCGGATCTCCTGGAGGCCCTTAGGGCCATGATTTTGTTCTCACTGACATCTGTAGTGTGTTTGCAGGGCTTCCTAAGGGAACCCAGGTCACTGAAGTGTTTGTTAGGTTTCCTGTGTCGCCACCTTGTAACCCATCAGAAAAACAAGTCATCACAGTGTTTATGACATGATGTTAGCGGGCAAATAGAGTACGGCAGATGAAAAGTATATTAGTTGAACATGGGGGTAACTATGGCTAATATTTTGGTATTAATGTTTGGCAGAGTCATGACTAGAGGGGGGTTGCTCAGGTTTGCATCTTGGTCCCAACACTTCACCCACTAACCATTTTGCTAGCCCTGTTACTAGTATTATATAATTATATAATTTTAGAAAACGAACATGATGCTTAACAATGGCATTGTTGTTCCCTGGTGACAAGGTGAGCAGGCAGGGTCCTGCCTGTCCCTGGTGTAACCTTCTGTGTCCAGGCACTTCCTCCTCGGTTTTCGCCACGGTGTTCTTAGCTCCCAGACATGAGGTAGACTGCAGTTTGTTTTATCAGCTTGACAAGCTGATGTCTTTTGAGTACTGAACGAGAGATGTCTTAGCTGGGCAGTTTTAGTGAAGCTTGGTTCAGAAAGGGATCGGTAGGTGTGACATCATTTTGGAAGGGGTCTGGAGTAGTTTGTGAGGTCTGCACCCTGTATTGAGGAGCTGGTCATCAGCTCCACCATTGAACCGACTGAGGCCCTGAGGAATTTAATATTTGTTTTGAGCCCACCAGCTGGTAAGTGGGGCAGGAATCCTTATTTGCTGCCTTTCCAGTGGGTGATCTGCAGAGCTGAGGTGTCTCCTCTCCTGGTGAGAGACTGCCGAAGACAGCTAGGCACAAGACGCTGTGCGTTAGGTGAACTAAGTCTAGTTTTGAAAGACCTTGACCAGCATCTTTGTTTCGACAGCAATTGCCTATTCAGAGCTCTGGGTGATCAATTGGAGGGTCATTCTCGGAACCATCTCAAACACCGACAGGAGACAGTTGACTACATGATAAGGCAGCGTGAAGATTTTGAGCCCTTCGTGGAAGATGATGTTCCTTTTGAGAAGCATGGTAGGTTCACTGTGGGACCCTGGGTCCTTCAGGAGCCATGCTGGGTCATCAGCCCACCAGCATCCCACCCCCACCGCCAGGGTTCGCTTCTGTAAATTATGCCATTGGCTCAACACACACTTATTTGCATATTCTGTGGTAAGCCCATGCTATGCAGCTGGGAATCTAGATTTGGATGTATGTCTCCTTGAATAAAAGAGGCGGCCTTGGTGGGTAAGGGTGTGGCGGCTCAGGGGTAGAGTGCTTGCCTCACAGGACTTGGTCCTTCCTCAGCATCACTACCACCTCTAAAGAAAAGATGGAGGAGATGATGATAATTGACAGAGGCTTTGGCCTCCTACCAGTGGGGTGGGAAATAAGCTGTAAGAGTGCACACATACAGAATCCACTTTTTAAACTGTGCGTGCAGGGTGGAGGTCTTTATTGCTTCTTTAAATTTTTATAAAAAGGTGATAGTAAAGCACCTATCTGAAAGGATTTTTGGTTGTTGTTTTTTTTGGGTGAAGATTAACTTAGATAACAAAATTAAATTCTTAAGTTAGCTGTCTGGGGATGATGGGGCTGTGGATAGTGTTAATTGTCTTCTGTAGATTTTTTATTTTAAATAATCATGTATTTATAACTAGAAAAAAGAAATCAGCAAGCCCGTGTTAACATCTCATCAAAAACCTAAAAATACACCCTCCCCCCTTTTTGGAAATAGTGTCTTTAAAACATAACTGTGTCAATACTTAGTTTTGGGTGTGTATATAACCTGACCTTTGATCCTCCCAAGTGTTACACCTGCCACCACACCCTGTTTATGGGGTCCAGGGGGTGGAACTCATGGCCTCTTCATGCTGAGCAAGCTTTCTCCCCACTGAGCTGCATCCCCACACACAAACAGCATCTCCACCACAAGGCTGACGTCTGTGTCTTACCAGGACGAGGGCATGGCCTCTGTTTGGAGGACAGTGTGGGGCCACATTGAGAATGGAGGGGAGCAAGTCTGGAAGGGGAGGCTGGTGAGGAGGCTCTCCATATGGGCAGTTCTGAGAGGGATGTGAAGGGCCAGTCCCAGAGCAGTTGGAGGGGTAGTTTACCCAGGCAGGGGTACCAGGGTGGTTCTGAGGTCTGGCTTAACAACAGCTCCAGGCATGGAGGACGGAGAGGGGGCAGTCTGGAGACACTGCTGGCCGTGTCTTCACTGGGAATGGATACATGGAGCCCTGGAGCAGGGAGGGTAGTCTGTACCTGTCACTGAGCTCTGGTGGTCACTTTTCAAGCAGACGGGCAGTTTCAGAGTTAGCATTTTACAGATTTGTGTGTGTGTGTGTGTGTGTGTGTCAGATTTTGGAGCTTTGTGCTGTTTAAAATGAGACGTGTTGCTGGGTGTGCTGGTGCACACTTGTCCTAGCACTCAAGAGGCTGAGGCAGGAGGATCAGGAGACTGAAGCCAGCCTGCATAGAAAAAAATGAAGAACCTTGTCACTTTTCAGTGTTACTTTGGATAAAGTTCGTGATCTGATTCCACTTGAACATCATTAGGAAAGATCTTGTAGTGGATTGGGGAGTACCAGTGTGTCAGGACAGGAGCTCAAAGCTCCGGGTGCCAGTGTGATGTCACTTTAGTTGTGCAGTGGAAAGATGTTTTCTTGAAATGTCACTGCATGACTGAGTGCTGATGCATCAAAGTGTGAGCATCAAGGAGATGGATGACGAATGGCTTTGACTGCCAGAGCAGAAATGAAGCTCGGCAGGGAGTCTGCACATCCTTGTGTGCTGAAGGTCAGACCCATCGCCTTTACCTCTCCTAACCAGTTACCAGTTTCGAATGTCTGTCTGCATTAGTATGCTGGAAGTTTCTCAGGGACAAGGTGTTGTGCCTTTGTTCCGGATCCAGCCATATCTGACATTTGAGGTATTCATATAGTATTTGCTGGTTTAATAAGTGAATGTCTCATGAGGACCAAGTGACTATTGCCCTTGGCTCTATCTTCAGGATTATTCTCATCTTCTAGAATGTGGCTCTGAAGAATCAGCACCTTCTCTCCCCATCTGTACAAAACCTGGATCAGAACTTGAGCTGTTCGTAATGCCTCATCTGTCTGTCTCCTGTTACCGGTTCCTTGTCTCTTGGCCTTTTCCTCTTCCCCTTACCACCTGTGTGCTTAGTTTTTCTGTCAACTTGCTACAACCTGGAGTCACCTGGAACGGAGGTTCCCTCTAACCTCAGTTGAGGGGTTGCCTAGATCAGACTGGCCTGTGGTCATGTCTGTTGGGATTGTCTTGGTTGCTAAGTGATGAAGAAGGGCCCAGCCCGCGGTGGGTGGCACCATGCTAGGCTGGTGGTCCTGAGCTGCATAAGAGAGCTAGCTAAGCATAGGTTTATGAGCCAGAGACAAACCAGCAAGCAGCTCTTTTTTGGAGCCTGCCTCCAGGTTCCTTCAGTAACAGACTGACCTGGAAGTGTAAGATGAAATAAGCCCTCTTTTCCTCTACATTGCTTTTGGCCATGGTGTTTGTCATAGCAACGGGATGAAACTAGAACATCACTTCTGAACTCGGGTGTGGTAGCCATTTCACCAGGAGCCTCAGTGCAGTGTGGACTGACTGTATGTCTCCTTGATCCCTTCAGCCTGTTCGAGATCAGTCTGAGTTGTGATCCAAGGTTGTTTCCCTCCAAAATCTGTTGCTCGTTCCCACTGACGTGAGGGCTGAGCCTGCACTTTATAGCCCTTCGTGACCTGTGGTTTTTAATTTCTCTCCTCTCTCCGTTTCTTACTGTGTGTTCTCCCTCTATCTCTGCCGTCGGTTCCTGCCCTACAGTATAGTCCAGGCTCTTGTTGTTTGGAATATCATCCCTTGCTCCTTTGAACTCCTGCTTGGCCTTGGAGCATGCTTAGTAGTGTCGGCTTAGCAGCTCATCTGATGCACCATGTCCTCCACCCTTCCCTAAACACACACACACACACACACACACACACACACACTCTCTCTCTCTCTCTCTCTCTCTCTCTCTCTCTCTCTCTCTCTCCTCTCTCTCTCTCTCTCTCTCTCTCTCTCTCTCTCTCTCTCTCTCTCTCTCTCTCTCACTCTTTGTGTTTTTGACTTGAAGCTAAGGTGTGAGGGCACAGCTGTGTAAGATTCCCTCATCTCTGACACTACCTGCAGGTTTCAGATTGGCCCACATTCACGGGAGCTGTTCTGGCAGCAGTGGTTTTGTGGGGAAAGGGAACAGACCGAAGTCAGCCGCCGGGGAAGACTCAGTCCAGCACAGTCCGCTCTGAGAAGGTCCCAAGCACAGTGCTTCTTTGTCTTTGGAAAACGTTTTTTTTTTGGAAATGCTCTTGGCATTTCAGCGCAGCAGTACACACAGTGCTGTCAGCAGGGAAGCCTGCTCCAACCTCAGAGTCCAGAGTTTGCTTTTTGTTCTCTATTTCTTTTGTGGTAGCATGTAGCTGCTGTATGGTCTGTTAGCAGCTGTAGTCTAGGGCACATCATGAAAGAGCAAGACTTGCCCTTCTCCTTTGGAAATTCCAAAGGATTGGCAGTTACTTTACAGAAGCCTGGGGTAAAGGCCAGGTCAGCCCTTTGCTGAAGCACCCGTTTTTCAACACTGTCCATATTGTTCTGATTGTGGTCTTCTCCAGGGCATAGTGACAGAGTGGCCACAAGCCAGGGCTGTGGAGTCAGCTGCTGGGGTGAAGCTCAGCTCACCAAGATCAGGCTCTGGGGCCTTCGGCCATCATTAGCTGTCCTCACCTCCGTCTGTTCATCTCTCTGGTGGCGAGTGTGATAATCCTTCCAAGCGTTGCTCTGATAATGAAAAGTGATGGTTTCTGAGAAATTATCAGCACTGCTTGACACATGCATGTGCATCCGTTAGTGCGAGCCGCTACCATTCTCTGTCTGTTGTTGTGCACGCCATGTGTGTTGGGCAGCTGGGCAGATTGGAAGCACGCAGCATTTCCTGAAGGAATTAATCAGCAGATCCTTCTCTGATGACGAGCACCCCCCGTGTTTAGTCTGTGTATTGTTCGCCTCTAACTCCCTAGACTGACAGCTGGTGACCTTTGCAGATGTGTGTTCTCGCTTCTCACTGCTTGCAGCCACGTAAATACCAATCATGTTTGCATTTGCACTTTCCATCATAAAGACTTCATTTTTCTCTCCTGTTTCCATGCAGTGGCCAGTTTGGCAAAGCCTGGTACTTTTGCTGGCAATGATGCAATTGTAGCCTTTGCAAGAAACCATCAGTTGAATGTGGTGATCCATCAGCTTAATGCCCCTTTGTGGCAGGTAGGTCACCTGTTTAGGAATGTCCTTAAGATGATGGGGCTTGACCTGTGATGCTGAACTCCTAAGAAGAGCTTAGACCATGAGCTAACCAAAGACAGGAATCTTGTGGTGATTTGGAACTAACCCCAGGCAGGTGCAAATGGAGTCTGGAGTGTGAGTGAAAAGTATTTTATGATCCTGGGATATTACTCAAGAGTTAGCTAAGTGGGTATTTGGGGACAGAGCCTAATGTGGAAATGCGTCAGATAATTTTATTAAACTATCTTAGCATGTGAATGTTTAGTACACACAAACTGTAGTTTTGAAGTATGCCTGTTCCCTGTGGTTTGTATATGTGTGGTTTTAGGAGTAGAGAAGCGTCCGAAATCCATTATAATGACTATATTCACTATAATGACTACAGAGTGTTTTCTGAACAGTAGAATGCTGTTTTTATTCAGCTTCAGTTCTGTGCTTTGCTTTTTTGTACAATGAAGATTTTATAGCAAATGTTTGCTCCAGGCTGAGACAGTTGTTCAACCACAATCCTCCACTGTGAAGTATCTGCCCATTCGACTCCTTTTCTTTCTCTGTCTCCTACATTAACCTCATCTGTCAGTTCATCAATCCACACATTCTAGAGCACATAAACCAAAGGTTGCTGACTACGTGCTCACCCTACTCCCCTGTTCATCCTCCCAGAATTCACAGGGCTTTGCGTCACTCTGTGGCTCAGCCTCAGACACTGGGCATGTGCTTCCACTGACCCTCTGCTCTACGTCTCTATTTTGAACTTTTATTTAGAAAGTCAAAACGTTTTAATTGAAGAAAAACCGGGAAGTCAGAAAAGCCCCTTGAGGTGGGTGAGAGTCACTGGAGTCTCACTGACTGGAATTAGGGCTGTTAGCGTTTTTTAGTCAGTGTCCTACCATTCGCCCCACACTTGGCCATATGATTGGGGGGGTGCATATCATGGTGTTTTTATAATACATTTTAAACACATGTACAAGAATTCACTCACCACGCGCGTGCACACACGTGCGCACTCACATGCACACCCAAACACACCTGCGTGCGTTAAGGTAATGGCATCTTTTCTTGGTGTGCTGCCTGCCTGCACCCTTTGTAATTCCCTGAGTCGTGGCCTGCACTCTTTTCTTTTAAAAAGAGGGTCCAGTTTTTAGAAATATAAATGACACATGCCAGAATTCACCCTTTTCTGATTTATATTTCTATGTTTTGATGTACATGTAACACCACATCAACATATGGAGTTAGCTCCACTCTACCAAGAAGTTAGCGCCTGTCCTGGGCAGTCACTACCCACTCATCTTTTCCCAACCTCTGGTAGCTACTGGTTTTTTCCTTTATTTGTGCTTTTCTGTCACATGAATGGAAGTCTTCAGCCTTTTGTATCTGGGACAGTGTCTTTTTAACAGAGTTACGCAGGACAAAGTGACGGAAATGCTGGCAGGGCTGGTGAGAACATCTCCCTCAAGGATGCAGTGAGCAGGAGGGAAACAGGGTCCATGGCCTTGGTCCAGTGCTGCCAGATGTCTGGATAGCAGGGAGGGCAGCCGTGTTCAGGGGGTGCTCTTCAGAGTGATCTGCTGGCCAGGAACATGGTCACCCCCCAGTTCCAGGCGTTTGTTACTAGTGTACACCGTCAGTGGAGTTGTCAGGACACTTGAGTACACAGTGTGGGGAGCCTGATCTGGAAGGAGAAACCCACGTCAGTGAGGTAGCCGTCCGCTGCTTTCCCTAATGATAACATTTCTTAATTGCCCTAATTCTTATATTTTTTTTTTTTCAAATCTGTTCTGTAGCGTTCTGGTTTATGACTTGCAAAACAGTGGAAGTATATACTCATAACAAGTGTATCCCGGGATCTCCCCTGCCTGGTGGTACAGCCGCTGTTCTGAGCTCTTGCATTAATCAGGAGTTGGCTCAGACTGAACGTGGACACCGGAACCTACATTGTCTCCTGCATTGGCGTGCACGACTGTGTGAGCGGTTTCCATGTAGCCAATGACAGGCTTGTTAGGCGTGAGCCTATGGCCATGGCTCCTAACAGTTTTGGTGACTCTTCGAGTTGGTTTTCTATTCATAACATCCATACGTTGTTACTAAATATGCTAATGCTTCAGGAACTTTGTCATGTGAAGACAACGTGAAACATGTCCTCCATCAGTGTCCTTTCTGGGAGATAGTGCTGCTGCTGCTGCTGTCTCTCCTGTCCATCTAGACTCACTGTCTCCCAGACCTGGACGTGCTACTAGAGAAGCTTTTGCACTTTCCACACAAGATCTGTGTGACCCCTGCTTGTCCCATGGCTGGCTGTATTTGTGGCGGGTTTTGTTTGTTTGCTTTTTCTTTTTTTTTTTTTTTTTTTTTTTTTTTTTTGGTTTTTTGAGACAGGGTTTCTCTGTGTAGCTTTGCGCCTCTCCTGGAACTCACTTGGTAGCCCAGGCTGGCCTCGAACTCACAGAGATCCGCCTGGCTCTGCCTCCCGAGTGCTGGGATTAAAGGCGTGCACCACCACCGCCCGGCTGCTTTTTCTTTTTTTTTTTGTTTTGGTTTTTGTTTTGTTTTTCATTTCTCTGTATAGTCCTGGAACTCATTCTGTAGACCAGGCTGGCCTCAAACTCAGAGATCCACCTGCCTCTGCCTCCTGAGTGCTGGAATTAAAGGCGTGTGTCACCACCACCTGGCTGACTTGCTGTTTTTGGATATTGAATACTGTTAATGGTCATCTCAGATTACTTGGGACTTTTAGTGAAAATAAGGAGGGCTGATGTTTTAGAATTTTAAAGGAAGAATGGTTACCTAGGGACAGAATCGAAATTAATTTAGTTTCTGGTTTATGGGTGTTTTGGAGGAAATCTACCCAGCTCAGCACTTAAAAGTTTTGTATGCTTTTTTTGCATGATTTTAAGGAGCCGATTCTTGTAGTATCCCAGGTTACTGTTGGAATGTAACACCCTGTGGCCATTGCCCAGAGCTGCTCTGTGTGCTCAGGGCAGTGTGGACAGTGCCCAGGGTTGTGAGGTGTGCTCTGGGCAGTGTGGACAGTGCCCAGGGCTGTGAGGTGTGCACAGGGCTGTATGGTGAGCTAGTACAGTTTTACTCTGTGGGATTTTGTCTTGGAACTGGTGCAATGGCAGGTTTTGAGATTGTTGGTGCTTATAAGGAAAAGGGAGGTGAATTTATTGCAGCTAACAAGCCATGTCAGGCTGGGTTTGTAGGGTTCCATTTTAAGGTCTTCAAGAGGGTCTAGAAGCTTCATGCTTGACATTTTACTTCTTTTTTTCCCCCTATGATAATCTTCAGTCTGTTTAAGCTTCCGGCTCAGCAAATCTGCGTCTGCTTCTGGGTCTTCCCATTGGAAGGAGCCTGTGCACTGGCAAGGCCAGGCAGTTAATTTTATCTGACTTCACTGCAGGCCTGCCTCTGGCTTGTTAGTCCCTTCCATATGGAGTCACTCGCATGTTGGCAGATGTTACATGGGCATGTGGAAGCCTGCAAGCCAGAGAGCTCAGAGACTCTCATAGCTAGAGTCCCAGTCTGTTGTATAGGGCCCACTGGCCTGGCCTCCTGGTCAGGTCCCAGTACCCACAGGCCCCCACCTTCCAGATCCTCTCTTGTGTCTGCAGATTCGAGGTACAGACAAAAGCAGTGTGAGGGAGCTCCACATCGCCTACCGGTATGGGGAACACTACGACAGCGTCCGGAGGATCAACGACAACTCAGAAGCGCCGGCACATCTTCAGACGGATGTGAGTGATGCCCTGGGTCCTTCTGTTCCCTCTGCTTGCAGACCTGCAGGAGCTGACCACCAGGGACCAGCTGTTGCTGCTGCTAATGAAAAGCTGCCGTCAGGGAGCTGTGGCCCTGATTGTTAAAAGTGTTTCAGCCGGTGAAACCCTGGCTGCCCAGCCTGAGGACTGGGGTTTGATCCTAGGAATCCACATAGTGGAAGAAAAAATCCAGCTCACACAAGATGTCTTCAGACATGCACCTGAGATCATGACATGGGTGTGCACACACACACATAAATGTAAAAAGCTAAATGTATTTTGTATTTCTTTTTAGTGATGTGAGAGACAGTTGCTTGTTGTCCCTTTACCTTCCTTCAGTAGGCCCCGATGGTTAGGTGTATACACAATCTGTACCATGTGTGGTACATGTGCCCTTGGAAACCAAAAGAGGGCATTGGATTTCCTAGAACTGGAGTTATAGATGGTTGTGAGTGTCCATGTGGGTGCTGGGAATTGAACCTGGCTACTCTGGAAGAGCAGTCAGTGCTTTTAACTGTTTAGCCTCCTGCCCTTTTTTGAGACAGGGTCTTATGTAGCCCAAGCTGACCTTGAGGTTTGTTTGTTTGTTTTTGTTTTTGTTTTTTTTTTTTTTTTGGTTTTTCGAGACAGGGTTTCTCTGTGTAGCTTTGCGCCTTTCCTGGAACTCGCTTTGGAGACCAGGCTGGCCTCGAACTCACAGAGATCCGCCTGGCTCTGCCTCCCGAGTGCTGGGATTAAAGGCGTGCGCCACCACCGCCCGGCTAAAGGTTTGTATGTAGCTGAGGATGTGAACTTCTGATTATTCTGCTTCTACCTCCCAAGTGCTCAGATTATGGACACATGCCCCCATGTCTGTTTTATGCTTTGCCAAGGATAGAACCCAGGACTTTTTATATGCTGGACAACTATTCTGTCAACTGAATTACATTCAGAGGCCCTTAATTGGAATCTTACTAGATTAATAGATTAAAGAAAAATTGCCGTCTGTTTGACTTAAGTGGTCCTAGGCAGGGCCTGGTGAGCTTTGTTGCCGGATGTAAGCTCTGTGGGAGTGTTCTCTTCAGATGGAGTGTAGCTAGAGTTTTCCTGCCTGGCCCACAGTCAGGACAAATCTCTCTCATCTGCCAGTCCCACAGCCCCTCAGACCCAACCAAGTAGACACAGAGACTTATATTAGTTACAAACTGTATGGCCGTGCCAGGCTTCTTGCTAACTGTTCTTACAGCTTAAATTAACCCATTTCTATAAATCTGTACCTTGCCACATGGCTCATGGCTTACCGGCATCTTCTCTTCACATGCTGTTTGTCATCGTGGCGGCTGGCAGTGTCTCTGACTCAGCCTTCCACTTCCCAGAATTATTCTCCTCCTTGTCCCGCCTATACTTCCTCCTGCCTGACTACTGGCCAATCAGTGTTTTATTACTAACCAATCAGAGCAAAACATTTGCCATACAGAACATCCCACAGCACTTCCTCTTTTCTTTTTTTTTTTTTTTTTCCAAAAAGGAAGGTTTTAACCTTAACATAGAAAAATTACATATAATTTGGGAATTTGGGCGTAGCTTCTCTTACTGCTTCCTGCTGGAGGGGGGCACTGTATCTTATGGGGACACAAAGAAAATTTTAGGATTATGGAGTAGTCTATGAGGCTGTACTGTCTGAGCCAGTTGCCTTCAAACTGTTCTGGATGTTGGATCATCTGGGCCATGGTGTCATCAGAGACCTTTCAGGGGGTCTTGGCTGGTCAAACCTGATGTATCTTGATCTGGAACAAATCCATAGCCTCTGGCTTTCTGTGGAAACAAAAGCAGAGCCTCCTTTCCAAAGCAACACATCCTTACATCCAAATTTTGAAGTCAAGGTATCTTTAAAATATACATATTGGTTTAACTCAATATCTTTTACGATCAAATGTTTTTCTGCAGTTAAAAATCCCAAAGACAACACAATCCAGATTCTCTGTAATATTCATCTTTACGTGGCTTATTTTTTATATTAATTTTACTGTCTCTTTAAAGACTTTATTTTTTAAAACTATGTATTTGTTTATATAACTGTATATATCACCTTTTTTGTCTCTTTCAAGCCTACGTATATTTTACACACATTGTAAACTATTACATCTGAATCTGTCTTATTGTGAATCTATTGCTTTAAACTGCAGCATTTGTAAGACTGAAACGGCGCTATGGCTGTTGGCTCCGCCCACCTCAGCTTCCCAACATGGCGGTGGTACGTTTACTGCCAGCTCTGGGAGCTATTGTGGGTCTATGCTTATATCCAAGCAGCGTGTACCCAGAAACCTCTTTTTTTGTTTTGTACTAGCAAAGGCTAAATCCACCATGCAGCTTAATGTGCCACTTGCAGAGGCCTCATTCCCACCATATGGCGGCAGGTCGAGCGTGCACGCTAGGAACCCACCAGTAGCTCAAACCGGCAAGCTGCCGCTCATTTGAAAGAGACAATTAGGAAGCTGTTTTTAGCTCCGTTTTAGAATCTTTTCTCAGGTTTTAGATGGAAACTCTTGCCAACTCGTTGGGCGCCATTTGTAGCTAGAGTTTTCCTGCCTGGCCTACGGTCAGGACAAATCTCTCTCGCCCGCCAGTCCCACAGCTGCTCAGACCTAAGTAAACACAGAGACTTATATTGCTTACAAACTGTATGACTGTGCCAGGCTTCTTGCTAACTGTTCTTACAGCTTAAATTAATCCATTTCTATAAATCTGTACCTTGCCACATGGCTCATGGCTTACCGGCATCTTCACATGCTGTTTGTGATCATGGTGACTGGCAGTGTCTCTGACTCAGCCTTCCACTTCCCAGAATTCTTCTCCTCCTTGTCCCGCCTATACTTCCTCCTGCCTGACTACTGGCCAATCAGTGTTTTATTTACTAACCAATCAGAGCAAAACATTTGCCATACAGAACATCCCACAGCAGTGGAGCTTGCTTATTTTTGTTTTCTTGGTTTTTATTCTTAGATATTTTGTGCTTTTTCCTGTTATAAGAAGTGGATCTTTTTCTCTTCATATTTCCTAGCTAGTTATCATTTGGATGAAACCTCTTGACACACCCAGAGATCCTGTAGAATTCTCTCTTACACACTGAGATCAAAGCCTCCTACCGTGAAGTGAATCACTTCACATGTAGTATCTGCTGCAGCTGGGACACCCCAGGCTTCCTTGACCACGTCCTCTGTTGGTTCCAAAACCGTCACACCTGGCTCTTGATCATTGCTTGCCCGGCCCTTTTCACTTAGCATAGTGTTTTTGAGAGTCAGCCATGTTGTAGTGTGTGTCAGTACTTTTTAATGGTATTCCATGGTGTGGGTGTATCACACTCTTAGTTACTTTTCTTTTGCTGTGATAAAACACCATGACCAAGGCAACGTATAAAACAAAGTGTTTAGTCTGGGCTTAGAGTCTGCGCTAACCAAGGGTTAGAGTCCACGATGGCAAAGCAAAGACATGGCGGCAGGAACAGCTGAGAGCTCACATCTTGATGGCAAATAGGAGGGGGAGAGAGAGACACTCACACGTCTCTCAGATGAGAGTTGGATACTTGTGTTTTTCAAGGCTAGCATTTTAAGTTCAGTAGCTTAGCAGGTGTGAACACGGGGACCCTCTTCTGTCCTCAGCAAGCAGAGGCAGATGTGTGCTGTCAGACTGGGCCGTGATTACCCAAGCACTGCTGTCTAAATACTGTGGGAGCCTTGCTGCTGTTCTTCCTGGGTGACTCCTCTCAGCTCTGTACTCAGGGCTGTCCCGGATTCTCCTTGTGGGTGAATCTGGCCGCTGCTCTGCTCTTGAGGTTGTTCCTAGAATTCTTCCTCCTGAGTTTGGATGGTTTGTGATTCAGGTGTCTTTCTGTGTTAGAGAGCTGAGTGGCATTTGCTGGAGCCCATGGTTCCTATGCTGTTTCTTTTAGTTCCAGATGCTTCATCAAGATGGAGCAAATAAAAAAGAAAAGATCAAGACAAAAGGGGTTGACTTTGAAGATGGCCCACGAGATGAAGTGGAAGATGCTGTCCAGAAAGTTGGCAATGCGACTGGATGCTCAGTTAGTATCCTTCCCCAGCCATGCCTCACAGCTGGATGCTCAGTTAGTATCCTTCCCCAGCCATGCCTCACAGCTGATGCCCAGTTAGTACCCTTCCCCAGCCATGCTGCATAGCAGGTGATGCCATGCCATAGCTGGCCTGCCAGAGGCCCAAGAGAGTGGGGAGCTGTTAATTAATTTCCCTTATTTGCTGGATTTCACCCATCAATGCTCAAAATCCTAAGGAGTGGGTTAATCTTTTCTGAGAGAGATTTGCCGTAAAGGTGTAGCTTTATAAAGAAAATTTACTTATAAATGCATTGGAATGGCTACTGCATGTGATGGCCTTGTTTGAAATTATGTTTCTTGGTGGTTGAGGTCTTGGAGCCTCGTCAGTTCCTCTGTTGGTGTTTGTGTGTATCAGGCTGCTGAAGCAGAACTCGTGAGCATGACACATTGAGAGTCTTGAGTGTCTCTCTGCTTCTTCAACAGGATTTTAACTTAATAGTCCAGAACCTGGAAGCTGAAAATTACAATATTGACTCTGCAATAATCGCCGTACTTCAGATGAACCAGGGGGAAGGAGACAGTAAGTTCACAACCTAGACTGTGAGTAAGCTTCAAGTGTTATGCTGGTGGCGCCCTCCAGCTAGTATTCACAGTCTCCACGATTGCTATAGTGTCCACACTGAGCATCCGTCAGTCATGATGGTGAGCAATACTGCCTCAGTTTGTGCTGCACAGTGTGGTGCAGTGCGCATGTGCAGGATGAGATTGGGCCTGCATGGTGTGTGAGTTTTAATTAGTTTAAAGCTTAGCAGCTATGTGTGCCTGTGGCCACTGTATTGGACAGTGTAGGGTTAGGTCATGTTTTGTTCTAGATTTGGGATACAAATGAATGCTTTATCCCTAAAAATTCTCTTTAAAAGTTCATCAGAGAGAACAAACACTGCTGGCAGAAGTTGACTGTGAGCCTTAGAGCCAGCCAGAGGCTCCAGATGCTTCCTGCATCCTTCCTGACCATTGACTTGAGAGTCGAATTCCATCTCAAAGGATCTGGGGACCCGGGGATCCTGCAGTCATGTAACTGCGGTTGCTTTGTGTAACTGTTGGTTCTTGGCTTTAACAAAATGCCTTTCTTTGGAAGATGCGGAGGAGAACCTTGAGCCCAGTGCCCAAGTGTCGAAGCAGTGTGACGCTTCACTGGAGGAGGCAGGCAGCAGCTCCAGGCTCATGGAAGGCCGGAAGGAAAACGGTACAGCCCAGGCCAGACCTAGTGAAGAGAAAAGAGCAAATAAAAGCCAGATCCTAAAGGTACGGCGTGGTTGGGAGGCACGGACACTGTGGGGGTTGTTGTAGCAAGGGTGGGCGGCTGATTTTCACCCTAGTGTTCCTGGTGTGTATAAAAGTAGGTTCTTGTAAGCATGGGGGGGGGGGGGCACACAGAAGCATACTAAGATGCAGAGTGAAAACTTCGCTTGTCCCACAGTCACAATAGTCAGTAGCCCTGTGTACAGATGCACAGCTGCCTTCTCCCTTCTCATGTGACTGTCAAGGGTGCGAGTGTCTTTGCATCATCTGTAGTAAGCAACTTGGTGTGTAAATCTTTGCATGTTTTCCTGCATGGTGTCCCCGGTGAAATGGAGGGTGTGTCTCTAGAGCTGCTTCAGGCTCTTGGTAACTTGTCAGGTGTACACCTCCATCCCTGCTCCGACTCCCACGAGTGGACAGGATGTCACTCATTTACCCAGTTAGAAACTCATCTTAAAGGCAGATGTTTTGGGCTAGACCACCACCTAATGAGCGGGAAGTGATGCACAATCTGAGAACTTCATTGCCCTTACCTAGAGTCTTAAATGATGGGGAAAGTGTCTCCAGTCCCCTGCGGTTGTCGTCGGTGGCTGGACTTGGCACTGTCCTGGTGGGCATTTGGGTTGTTTTAGGAAGAGGATTGATATTACTTGATGCTTCAGGAAGGAAACATACATTTCCAAGTATATTTGAACAATAATAGAAGAGGAACCCTGTAGTCTGCTGGCCTGGTTTTCCCTGTTCTTGCTGAAAGCATTCTGGGCCTTGTGCTCATCAGCCCCCAGCCTCGCAGCTCTAGTGACCCCCACGGCCGTCGCTCTTCCAGGTCACAAACAGGCAGCGGAGGGAGCAGCAGCGGCTGGAGAAGAAGAGACGGCAGGAGGAGAGGCACCGGCACAAAGCCCTGGAGAGCAGGGACAGCCACAGGGACGCCGCCAGCAGGGGCGAAGCAGATGCGAACACACAGGTCACCTTGGTGAAGACCTTTGCCGCCCTGAACATCTGACTCTCGGGACCCAGAGGTGGAGGATGAATGCTGCGGCCCAGGCGGCCCAGCCAGGTGGCCTCTGACAGCGCCCACACAGAGCCCACAGGAGTCAGTGTCCTTCAAGCTGCCTCTTGTGTCTTGAGCTTTGTCAGTGTTTTGTTGGGTGACAGTAGGTGAAGCCATCCGCCTTCTGGAACACAAACAAAGTACTGAGTCCTCGGTGGGTCATGGGGCAGAGGTGGCTTTGGAGCGAGGCTTTATTTGCCCTGCAGTTCAGAGCATGGTGATTCTAGGCTCTTCCTTGACGTGTGGCGTGGGTTTGCTGTAATTATTCTTGAAGTCGTTTAGCACAATCATTAGAAATCCAGTGACAACTTCCTTTGTTTCTCTTATTTTCAAGCAGGGATGCACGTCTTGGTTTACCAGCTCAAGAGTGTGTTGAGATAGGATTTGCTTCTGATCCAGGTTACTTGGACATACCAGTGATAGGATGGGGCGGGTAGCTCACAGCAGTCAGGGAAATCAACTACACCTTCCTTCTTCCTGTCTCTGGTATCACCTCAGAGAGTGTGGCTGCCCTCCCCACTCCAGCCATGTGGTGTGTGTCCCTGACTGTGGGTGAGCCAGGGTTTTGTGGGGAGCTCCACAGTGCAGCAGAGTTTGGGGTGCTTTTCTGGGCAGTTAGGAAATGGTGTGGCCCTGTTTGTGGCATACCTCTGAACTCTGATGTGCAGGGCTGAGTCTATGGCTGGGAGGTGGGAGGGGATCTGAGGTTTTTCCTCGGAAGAATCTAAAGACAGCTTCTATGGGAGAAGTCTCCAGGATGAAGTTTTCCATGCTTGAATTTTAATAACTATGTGGGGGTTTTTTGTTTTGTGTTTTTGTTTTGTTTTGTTTTGTTTTTGATACGTTAGACTCAGAAAGATGCCTACAGAGAAATAGCTGGTCATTTGATCTTACAGGTTGCTAAATTTTCTTAACATGTGAAAATGAAATGAAATCCCATAGCATAGCTGGGCATGGTGGCTCAAGCCTGTCATCCCAGCACTCGAGCCGAGGCAGGATTGCTGCAAGTTTGAGGCTAGCCTGGGCTATGTAGTGAGTTCCAGGCTAGCCAGGGTTAGAATAAAAGGCCCCATTTTACTCCCTACCTAAGGGAGAAAAATCTTACAGCATGTATCCTGTATTTGATTATTTGGGTTTTCAGTACTGGGGAAGTACTTGGTGGCTGAGGCTGCCTGTGGCGAAGCTAGATTACAGGGAGGAGAGGGGAGAGGCCTGTGCTGCCTGCCAGAGGCCTGTGCATGACTCCGCTCTGAAGCACCTTCAAGTAGGGAGAGGTGCTGTTCCCCAGGCTGTGTTGTATGAACGTTTACTTTAAACTGTCATGTGTCGGTGAACAATCAGGACGAAAGTCTTTGCTTTCTGGGAGCCTGGTGTTCAGACTAACGCTGTATGCTGGCTCAAGAGAGAAATTACTTGTTGTCACTAGAGGCAAAAAGAAAACATGAAGACACAGACACCACTGGGCAGCTTGCGAGTCCGTCCCGTTGTCTTACCAGCAGACTATTTACTTCCTCAGTTTAATGTTGTCCTTCAGTTTTCCATTTGTTTGGCTTTGGGACTTTGTGTTTGGAACCCCAGAAGTCTCCTGGAATCTCTCCCAGGATGCTGTGTTACTTCCTGCGTACAGGACATTGCAATAGTGTGCAGATTTACAGACTACATGGCATTTTTTTTTCCTCCTCAGCTGGAGACCCAGGCCTCAGTCCCAGAAAGGGAAGGTGGTGGCTGCCATGCCCTAAGGGATAGGAGCCAGGCTGGCTCTGGGAGCCAGTGTTCTCTGGGGACACCCAGGACGGGGTCTGGGTTGGCTGAACTCATCTGAATGAATGCTCTCTGTTCCTGCTTTGTACTGCCTGAGTGCAGGATGCCAGGGCCTCGCAGAAAGATTAGCGTTGTTTACCAAACCCAGGGGTGGAAGTCAGAAGTAGCAGACCTGGGCTAGCAGGCTCAGTGGTAGAGACTTGCCCAGTGTGTGGGAAGCCCTGGGTTCCATTCCCAGCACTTAAAAAGCCAGGCTGTGGCTAGCTCTCAGTAGCCCCCTTGGGTACTCAGGAGCTGCTGTTTACCTGGCTGGGGACGGCCTCTCTAGTGTCAGAGCTGCTGTGGGGCTTGTTAAAGAGTGCTTTTATTTACAGACACCCATTCAGTTCTGAGCTCCCCGCTTCGGGTGGCGGCTGTGCAGTCTTTCTGGATCACAGTGGCAGTCTCTTCAAAGCACTTCCCTTTTGTCACTGTCCACAGCTTTCCATTTTCATTGGTGTTTCTTTAACGTGCTGGTTATTGAAAGTGGGGTACCTGCACCCAGCTTCAGTGTGTTGTCCAGCTCAGGCTCTGAATGTGACTTCACTGCCCCAGTCTCACTGAGTGAGAGGTGTGTGTGTGTGTGGGGGGGGGGGGGGGCTGTAGGCATCACCACTTTAGTGGGCACCTGACAGTCACCTCATGGGCAGCCAAACAGGCCCAGTACGGTGAGCTTCAGGGTGATGACGGTTAACACTTCCTCGGTCCAGGTCCTCACAGGGAAACTGTTCTGGGAAGGGAACCTGCCAGCCTCAGGCTGTGTCTCGACTGCTACCTGAGAATGTCATGGTCCCTCCTTGTGGGGGCACAAAGGAAAGCCACAGTGCTTCATGGCAGTTCACTGCCCTTATAAACTCTGTGGAGGGGAAGTTCTCTAGATTTTAAGAATAATTTTTTTAAGGTCAAAATAGGAAAAAACAAAAAACAAAAAAAACAACAAACAAAAACCCAACTGATGGCAACCTCTGCCCTGGAGGCGGATGAATTAAAACAACCCAGCCAGACTTCTAGACAGTGCAGCCCACTAGGAGATTGTGCCAGGAATGTAGGCTCAGTTGGGTTTTCAACAGAACATCTACCTTCAGGGAGCAAAGTCTGCTCTGCTCGGGGACTGGCAGGAAGAAGAATCTGAAATGTCCACCAGGGTTGCCTGTAGTTTGTCCTGTGAGCTCTGAAAACACTTCAACCCCGTTTTGATTGTGAAAGCGAAGTGGGCTGACCTTGCAGAGCAGCTGGAGTAGGGCTCAATGGGTAGCCTTTCTGTAGGCACATTACCCTGCTGCTTCCCTGGGGAACAGAGCAAGGGGAACTGCTGGGCCAGGGCTGGGACAGTGGCTCAGGTTCCCTGGTAGTGTCAGGTGGCCTGTGCCAGTGGACTGCACTCCGAGACGGCACTTCATGTTCTGAGGAACTACTGTCTGCCTGGGTTTTACCAGGACAACACAGCACCCTTTTTTACCTCTGAAATGTTCAGCTCAGACATCCGGCTGGGTAGAGGAAACCAGGATCCTCAGAGAGAGTGGACTCACCCTGAGCAGGGTGTGAGCAGAAAGGAGGAGCCTCCCAAGAGTTGTGGCCTTGGTGGCCTGTCTGGAGCCCCATGTGGGCATGCAGCTTCTCACCTCTGACCTCTAGGCCCAGGCCGGGTGCAGGGCTTCAGTCTTGTCCTTCCCTTCACCTGCTCTGTGCTTCCTTTCCCCTGAAGGTTGGGGGTTGCTTACGCCCAGCATTGCCCCAGCAGTCCAAGAGGCACTTTTACAGGCGCATGTCCCTTATCCCCGCAGGTCTACCGTTTCCAAGGTCATTGTTGAGTTGAAGATAGAGCTGCGTATTTAGATTCTAAAAGTTGAGTGCTGGGCTCAGTTGATTGTTCCTGCTGAATGGAGGCAATACCATGCCTCTGTCCTAAGTGGGAGTGCGGGGAGTGAGGCTCAGGAGAGAGCTGTGTCCTGGGATAGCCTGGCCCTCTGTCCCAGGTAAAGTTCTGACAGTTTCTTCAGCTGGTTCTTTCTAGAGTCTCACTCTTTGTTTTGTATAGCTCAGTTGAAATGTTGATCTCCTCACGGTCACTGGAGACGGCTGATAGCCGTGCAGAGGATACTCTCCACATAGCTGCACACTTGCACAGTGAGTTTATGTAAGCAGGGCATACCTGCGATCCAGGGCTCCTTTTGCTCTGTCCTGGCACAGGAGGAGCCTTTGGGGTCTGGCTCAGATCCTTCCTTGCACATGAGCATCCTGCAGGCCCCCCGTTCGACCACCACAGCAGTCAGTGAAAATCATCAGCCCTCTGCCTGTGGTTTGAGCTCTGACAGTCCTCTGTTGAAACCTGAGCCCTGCTGGTGTGGGGCTCTTTTAAGTCTTCCTATTCTTGGGGTTCATTTTCCATGGTGGCTACCTTCCCAGCATCCCTCACTAAGCACTAAGCTGGGAGAAGGGGAGACAAGGGCCTTGGGTTGGGCTCAACACCCACCACCCTGCTCTCTGTCCTGAGTGCTGGTGTTTGTCGGCCCCTCCAGAAAGAGGGCCAGTGTGTCTGCCTTCTCCTTTTTCTAATTGCACTGTCTTTGTTCTAGCTTCAGTCTAGAGATATCGAAGCTCTTCTTGGGGTCATGACCCATAGGCTTAGTAAGTCTGCCTTAGCTATGGAGCATAGAGGTGAGAAATAATTGTTTTCTGGCGTCTGAAGCCCATTTCCCCTAGGCTGTCTCTTTACACAGATTGTGTTCATCTGAATCATTTTATATTTTATTTACCAAAGTACTGTACTTGGCTATTTGCAGTGTTTTAAGAACCAAATGTTTTTTGTGTTTTTGATCTTCAACACTTGGTGCAATAGAAGCCGCAAAGACGTGCCACTTTATCTTTGAAATGGATTTTGTATACCAATAAATTCTAGTTTAAAAGCAGAGTTCAGGTCGGTTTGTTTTTGCTTGCTTGCTTGCTTGCTTGCTGCCTGGGAGTGTTTGAAGCATGCACTCTGCCGTGGAGTTACAGCCTTGACTCGGATTGTTCTCACCAGTATCCGACCACCACTTTGAGTGAGAGGGACTGAGAAAACATGTTGGGAAATGTCCTTTCCAGAGACCTTTGTGTGGGAGGCTGGAGGTGCTTAGACTAGGGATTCCAGCTGGGTGGTCATTTGGGACCCGGCAGAGGTAGCGTGGATGCAGTATGGCCATCTCATGACCGGGCACACCATTGTTAAGACCTACCTGGCAGCCAGGTGGTGGTGGCGCACCTTTAATCCCAGCACTAAGGAGGCTGAGGCAGGTGGATCTCTGTGAGTTTGAGGCCAGCCTGGTCTACAGAGTGAGTTCCAGGACAGCCAAGGCTGTTGCACAGAGAAACCCTGTCTCAAAAAAACAAAAACAAAACATACAAACAAACAAAAGAACTACTGGCACTGCAAAACATGTCTGATAAGCAGTGTGCCACCTTGAGAATTAAACCCTGCAAGACACCACCAGCATGGCTTCCTCTTGTACTGCCCTTCAGGGCACGCAAACAGTCCATGTGCCTTGTTCAACAGAATTCATCAGTTGCCCTGTTCTGATTCGGCTTTGGCTGGGCTGCTTGGGAAATGTCTGCTCTTAGACCACACTGATGCACACTGAGAGCTTTGGGCTTAGGAGGAGGGAGACTAGTCCAACTGCTTCGTAGATTCTGGCTCTGCAGAAGGAAAAGGCTCTGAGTCATGGTGGAGGGGTTTGGGTATTCTGTTTGTGCTAAGTTTTGTCCTAGCTAGGGTTTCTATTGCTGTGAAGAGACACCGTGACCGTGGCAACTCTTATAAAGGAAAACATTTAATTGGGGCTGGCTCGCTTACAATTTCAGAGGTTCAGTCCATTATCATCATGGTGGGGAGCATGGCTGCTGGGAGTATGGTGGCTTCTAGGCAGACATGGTGCTGGCTACGTATTGATCAGAAGGCAGCAGAAAGTGGTCTGTGTCACTGGATGTGGCTTGAACATATATGAAACCTCAGAGCCCACCCCTACAGTGACACACTTCCTCCAAGACCACACCTACTTCAATAAAGCCACACTTATAGTGCCACTCCCTATGAGCTTATAGGGGCCAACATACATTGAAACTACCACAAGTTTAGTCACCCATCCAAACATCTGAGAATCCATCCTAGAATGACATACTCTCTGGGTCTTTGAAAACAACCAGGGACCTGTTTACCAAAGGCTTCCAATGTAGGAATGAAAGCAGACATAACCATGACTCAGGAGAACATGTGGAGTGGCAACTCAGTTGAGAGTGTGCTTGCCTTGAAAGCATGAAGCCCTGGGTTCCATCCCAGCACCACATAAGGGATATGGAGGTGCATGTAGAATAATCCCAACACTTGGGAGGTAGAGGAGAATCAGGAGTTCAAGGTCAGCCTGGGCTATATGAGGCCCTGTCTCAGAAACAAAACAGCAAAGGAACCCAAACACACAAAACCAAACCATGATCTAAAAAGAAAGGCTGAGCAGATGGCTCAGGAATTGAGAGAAATTAAGGGAAGCTTCGTGTTTTTGCAGGAGAGGGGAGGTAGATACAGAAATAAGGAAAGTGCTCTGTAGCAAAGGACCAGCGTAAACCAAGCCCCGAGTGGGAAAACCGTGCTTTTAGTGTAGGGCTTATCTAGAATACACGGCAAGTTTGGAGGGAGACTGGAAACATTTTGTCAAACGCTTCTTGGAAGACCAGTGCTGTGCTGCTTCCTGGGTGAGGTCTAGAGAGGAGCATGCTTAGGTCCAGCTGGGCTGTGTGTTGGGGGTGTGCCCTTGGCTCTCCTGCATCGTGTTCTGGGGATGTGGCAGGTAGCAGCCCTCCAGGAGAACTCCCACAGCATCTCTTCTGGCAGCTTCACCTATTTGCCTTGGGGACATCAGCTCAAAGGCATTGAAGGCTAAAGGCTCTCAAATATGCATCCACTGAAGTTCTTGCTCCCATGGTAGGGGAGCCTAGGGGCTGGTCAAATGAATTGGGGTGGTATTTACCAACGGCGTATGGTGCCTGTTTCCACAAACCGTTCCAACTGAAGCAGGCATTTAGAAACTGCCTTTGCTAAGAGCACTGACTCTAAAGCTGGGGCTCAGAGGCAGCTGAAAACTCGCATCCCTGCCTTCATTTGGTGTCTGTCTCCTTTACTCTGGCTCAGACTCCTGCTTGACTCTGCAGGGACCAGTCGGTTTCTATGGTGCGTCTCTCTGCCTAAACCTGTCTCATCTCCCTTCAAGACCAAAAGACCATTGTCTAAACCTGCAGTCACCTTGGATTCCAGGAAGAACAAATCGTGCAGGACATAGAACTCAAAGGATGATGTCCCTGTAGAGGCTGCAGCCTAGAGTAGATCATCCTGTAGAGACCAGATTGGACCCTTGGTGATAGCAGGAATTAACAGATTAACATTCAGGACCAGAACCGAGGCCATGATGGGCAGGCTCACACCTTAAACCAGGACTGCTCACACATGCCTCTTGCCTCCTGCCCCAATTATTCCTCTGTTTAAATGTCAAGTGCTTATCAGCATTCCCGAGATCAGTGTGGGATCATGAGGCCTCCACTCTGTTTGTTCCTCTTCCCAGGCTGTTATGTAAATCTCCTCTCTGCTCTTTAGCATTCTGTTTTGGGTTTTTTGTTGTTGTTGTTTTTGTTGTTTGTTTGTTTGTGGGTTTTTTGCTTGTTTGTTTTTTGAGACAGGTTCTTTTGTAAACCAGACTGGCCTCAAACTCACTATGTAGCCGTGGATGATTTTGAACTCTTGACCCTTCTGTCTCCATCTTCTGAGTGTTAGAAATATAGTCTTTCAACGGGAGGTGGTGGCATACACATTTAATCCCAGCATTTGGAAGGCAGAGGCAGGCAGATCTCTGTAAGTTCAAGGCCAGCTTGGTCTACAGAGTGAGTTTTAGGACAGCCAGAGCTACACAAAAAGAAATGAAGGAAAAAAAAAAAAAAAAGAAATAGAGTCGTGCTTTACCATCTCCGATTTATGCAATGCAGGGACGGAACCCAGGACTTCCTATATGCTAGGCAAGCACTCTACCAACAGAGCTACGTTGATTTTAGAATTCTCTGGCTCTTCCACTGGGTACTGGAGATCCACCTGCCTCTGCCTCCCAAGTGCTGGGATTAGAGGCGTGCGCCGCCGCTGCTGCCGCTGCTGCTGCTGCCGCCGCCACCACTGCCACTACCACCACCACCCGGCTTCCAGGCACTCATTTCAATCTCAGAACTTCTCGGGAGGCTGGTGGATCTGCCCCGTCATAATTAGGTTCTTCAGTTAATGCAGGAATTCTGTTGTGACGTCTGCTCATTTATTCAGCACCTATTTCATGCAGCACGTGGTGCATTGCTTTTGTTAGGAGCAGTAGCACAGACAGGAATAGGCTGGTCCAAGATCAAAGATGGGAGCGGAGGCAGGACGTGGACCCAAGGCTGCCTGCCATGAAGGGCCCCAGATAACTGGGATGAGTGGCACCAGGAAAGATTCGGACACACGCCTTGGCAGTTTGGCAGAGGTTGCCACCCACTCCAGTTTGGAAAGGTGGGACTTGGGATGCACTTGAATTGAAACACATGTGCTTCTGTGTTGAGGGAGCTGCTGCACAGTGGACCGACAACAAGCAGCCCACGGGCATGTCCTGCAAACGGTGAGGATGTGGAGAGGGGTCCCAGCCTTGGCTGGGTGATTCTGAGAGGAAGCAGACCCATAAATGCTCTGCAGGAGTGAGGTCTGTTAGGACAAAAGACCGCCAGACCATGACTGGGCCTTGAGGTGAGAGAGCATTAAAGAGGAACGATACATTCAAATCAATTTAGCACACCAGGCCTTAAAGGAACAGGGAGGCTTTCCCTTCAACCCAGAGAGGAACTTTGCTAGGAGCTTAAAGGAAGATAAGGCAGAGAGCCACCATGGACAGCATCCTGTTGGGCGTGGGTGTCATAGAAATCCCACAAACAGAGGATATGTGACTTCCATAAGTTTTCAGGGGCTGGCAGGAAGTTTTATGTGGTATGAGTTAGTCTGGGATAGCCTGCATGGTTTACAAGGATAGCCTACATGATTTATGGGATGAGCCTACATGACCAGAGAATGGAGGCGCTAGGTACGGGTAGGACCATTAACTAGGGGCTGTCAAAACTACAGCATAGATTGGCTTCTTAACTCTGTCCTAGGGAGAGCTGTGGTGGGGTGAGGCCTGATTTCTTCAGACTGTGCGATCTGGCCTCTCAGAGTGACCACTGTCTTCAAAGGACAAGCCTGTGATCTAATAGTACGAAGCCTTAAATGCCAGGGGCTGAGGGACCACAGGGAGCTGCTGAGGAATTGTGAGGAACCGAAAGGAGAGACACGGTAGAAATCAAAGAGGGTATCAGCGGGTAGGATGGAGACTGGAGAATGGAGGTGTCTGTCTGCCGCTTGACTGTAGCTTCTCTCTACAGCATCATGGGAAGAAAGAATAAACGTGAATGAAGTATTGAGCCTTCAACCCACAACTGCAAAGAACCCCAAAGAAGCAGATGAATGGCTGTGATATCATAATTAGGCTCTTCAAATAACTCAGGAATTCTGTTGTGTTTTATAATCACTTATTCAGCAGTGATTTAATGGAGCACTTTGTGTTAGGGGCACAGTAGGAACAAAAGGAAAATCAATCCAGATGCTCACATCATAATTGGAGAGAAAAGCTATGAAATATCCATGCTTCCTCCCCAGCCTTGATGTAGCCCCTTGTTTCATTTACTCATTCATCCATCCCTTCATCTATCCATCCATCATAGACCCATCCATCCATCCATCCTCCACCTTGCTCCTACCCAGACATGCATCCGTGCACACGCTGTTGTGAGATTCTGAACAAAGATGAGACCTGGAAGCAGCTTCAGGAAAACAGACTTTAATCACGT